TATATAATTTTTTTAAATATGCTACAATTTTTTTTTAAAAAAAGGTCTATGGCACTTTATAGAATACAAGTTTACGAAGTTGATCAAACCACAGATGTTTGAAGAATTCTTCAATACCACAAAAAGTTAAACTGAACTAATCGGCACACAGGTTTTAAAGAATCCACAGCAAATTCTTCTAGATCCTATGCAGTGCATGTACATTAAGAAGCAGTTACACTCCGCAGCCCCCTCATGAAATTAATTAAATTAGCTTTAAGCTGATTTATCTTTTTTTAATTTTTTTTTGTTTTTTCTTCCCCAAAATATTTTTGTGATATTTAATGAAATGAAAACTGTGAAATTTAATGAGTGCACCCTACACCTGAAAACCTCATCCAGAAAGAAATCTGCAATATATACCGTCTTACCACTTGCTAGAAAAACAGAACCCTGAGAAAAGAAATTCTGATTGTATTTTTTTCTGCATTTCTTCCCAGCCTGTCTTCTGTGTGCTATGTGATCAACATGGATATTGTTGCAAGTTAGTTGATTATGTTGTTGCAGAGCAAGTTGATAGTATACCAGCAACAAGCAGAAAAGCTGGTTCTTCTTGGTTACAAATGCAAACAAAAGCAAAACATGCTGATGAAAATACCTTTGTATTTAAAAACAACGCTATTAAAATTTTTTAAGTATTCTGTAAATCACAGCAGAGGTCAGCTAGAAATGTAAATGAAGGTTGGTCATTGTGTCCTTCTAAGCCAAAGAAGTATATGCCCTTTTGGAAGAACTGACCTTATTCTGAGAGTAATTGAGTGCTCAAGCCAAAGCAGCATTTGTCACCTAACATAGCGTCAAGATTTGTTGGCAGTGGCAACATAGACATTGGATTGCTACCCACCTAAGAAAAGCTAAAACTGTAAATCTATTTCATAATTGATTTTTAGCTGATTCCTATGCTACCCTATTCTTCCCAGCCCCACCTTCCCCAATTGCGGAGCCCGCAAGAGCACAGCTGCGCCGGTGACCCAGCCTCTGTGGCACACACTCCGTCAGTGGGATGGGCCCTGCGGTGCAAGGCCAGTGCATGCCCTTCAGGTGGTGCATGTGTGTGTATGGGAAGAGAACAAGGAGAAAAACACGGGTGTGGACAGGATGTGGCGGCAGTGATTTTTGTCCTCAGACACCACTTTGTGCTTGTAATTTTGATTTGTTAAAAAATCTTGCTTTGTGCAGGCAGTTGGCAGAAATGGTTCCAGACTGTAACTTCTGGGTTTTTAAATATTTAAAAGAAAAGTGAATTACCCGTTTTAAACTAGAATATGGTGGATGTGGGTTGCAGGAGCAGGTGAATGCAAGAAAAGACTAGATAAAACAATCCCCTTTTAATATTGGAAGAAGTTGACCTTGTTTGTGGCACAGCAGCTCAGAGATAAGCTCCGTATCCATCTGGCACGTGGCTTGAAGGTGCACTAGGCACAGACACGTGCAGGCTGGGAGCTGGGCCTGGTTTGCTCTGTAGATGGGCTGGGTCAAGGCGGTGTCCGTGCTGCGCAGCCAGCACCGGAGGGGTGCTCCAACACTGCGACTGCCGGTGTTCACCTGTGCTCCAGGCTGGCCCCAGGCTTGCGGTTGTGACTGCTGAACAGCTCTTGTACTGCAAATGACTTGAGCAGTGTATTGAAATTAGCTAGCTACCTGTACAGTAACAACGATTTTTAAATACCTGTAAATACCTAGTGGCACTCTTTAGGGACTGGCCAGGTGTGAAGAAGAACCTCTGCTCCACATTACACAGTGAAGTGTTGGAGAGCAACACTCATCAGATGACGTTAAACTACCAAGAAGTAAGAATGGACTTAGTATTTCACTAGAACTAAGATGAATTCTCCCCACTGCTCCTATGGCACAGTTGCATCATTCCTTTGTTTTTTTAAAATACCTTTAAAATTTGTTTTCAGAAGTAGTTCTAGTAAGTGATGCAACGCCACAAGTAATACAACCAACTGCCTTTGAGAAAGGAATGCCATTTGTGGCAAGGTCCGTTTCATTTCTGCTGATGTAGCTGGAAAAGGGTTGATACTACGTGTGGGTTAAAAAAAAAGAGAAAAGATCTTCCCAGCTGTGTAGAATTTGGCAAGACTTCCTGAAAGATGTAGATTTCTTAAGGACTTATGTGGCTTTGGGTCATGAGACAGATCTGTAGACTAGGAATGAGGTTTCACTGGCAAGAGAAAGGATAATACTGTTGAAGTCCAACGTGCAATCTACATTTGTAGGAGAGGCTACAGGCCAGGCCAGGCTGTTGGCATTCACGAGATAAGGCCCAGCTGTGCTGTGGGGAGTTGGTGTCTGCTTGGCATTTGAGGAGTTTTAATAAGGCTGTAGAACTATTACTAACAATGGTTATTTCAAACAATTTTATCAGAATCAGGTGAAAGCCAGTATAACAACAGCTTCTCTGTGTAGTCAATGGAAACAAAATAATTTACCTGCTACGTAACAAGTGGCACACACCTTGCACTGTAAGTTTCAAGACAAAGAAACCTGGCAGGGACTCAACTTTTTAAATGCTTGAAGATAGGTGTAAACTGCATCACATCAACTTTGCTCTCTCCAGCATACTTACTATCTGAGAAGGCACTGTACTTTAAGGAAGTTCAGTATCAAAAAGCACCTCAATGAAAAGTATGGTACCAAACCAGGTGGTGGTGAAATATTCAGAGATGAGGGGAGCCCTTGGAAACAAAGCCTAATTAAAATAGGCTTCTCTTTTGTATAAGGAAAAAAAATGTGCTGGCTTTTATTATTTTAAATCCAATTTCTTCAGTAACCAAGGTTACTGGGTAAGGCTATCTGATCAATCAGAATTCGTCAGTTATAACAACATTCCTGCTATATACATGATTCCTCACCTCCCCAGTCAGATTAATATGTGTCCTGATCATAAAATATCATAAAATGAAACTAAAAAAAAAAATCCCCAAGTGTTTACATTCTGCTTTCTTGGGATCAGTTCTCTGATCCTCATTGCCCAGCAAGGGAGAAAGACCATTTCAGTAGTTCGGGTCTGGAATGCATGGGGCTCAATCACACAAAAATAGGTAAGCAGATCTGCTTGTCCAGTCAATGGAAAGCAGATTAAGATCCCCGCACTGGTATTCTTCCCCACTGGAGTTAAAGGAGGCAGATAAGGTTTTTTCCTTCTTCTATTTCTTCTTGCACTTTGTCACTGGACGTGGCTATTTCAGCTTGCGCCGAGAAGACTGCACAGATGAACGTCACAATAGTGCCACCAATAGCTGTGTAGAAAGCCCAGCCCAAGGAGCAATCTCCTAGTTTGTAAGCAGAAGCGTAAGGTCCACAATAGCTTATTGCTTTCTGGCATCCCCAACCTGCAGGGTAAAGTATCAAGCCTAAGATAAGGAAGAGGCCTAGAAATAAAAAGAGAGAGAGAGAGAAGTTTAACAAATGATCAGTTTAGCACCAAATGTAACACGTGTAGCAATGGTTATCATGGTCGCTATTCACTCCTAAGTACCAGGATGAGGAGAAGATGGCTCTTCGTAATCCACCCAGCCTTCCCTGACTGATTGTTCCCTAGCATGTACCATGCAGTGTTTTATGTAAACTTGGAGCTATTCTGTGGTTTTTCTTGTGAAAGGCTTATTTCATATGATAATGGCCTAGTTCCTAATTTTAATCTCTCTATTCCTTCTACATCCTGTGTTTTCACACATTATTGCTTGGTGTACAGAGCTTGCAAAACATTCGAGCACTCTACCTACTGTTCACACTTGCATTTTTCAACTGCTTAGGCATGTTTGCATCCATTTTTGAATTTGTGTTTAGCTAGCCCTTGTTCAGCTTTATTTAGTCATCCATCATAAACAGTTTTGCATTTTTTCCTCTGGATTTTTCCTACATGTTTTTTTTTTTCCCCCCAGCAAGAAAATCAGTTTCACACCGCATCTGTTTATTTGGCCACATTAGGACATAGCAGAAAAATAATACTGCCAGTTCAGTAAGCTGCTTTTGTAATGAAGGGATTCTGGAGTCCACCCCTAACAAACAGATCTTAGTACCCGCCGCCAGCGCATAGGGAACACTGGGATCCTCTAAACAGGCAATCGACTGCTGCAGAAGGAAAGCACATTTCTAGTGATGCGGGAGCAAAAGCCTCAACTCCCCATCTTGCTAAGCGGCCCGAACACCCTGCTGTGCCTCAGGCTGGAAGTAAAAAGCTCAGACTAGATGTTTTGCCCATCTGATTGTCTCTTGCATTCATAGTTTTCTCTCCTGTGAGGACCAGTCTTTTTCTAAGCAGTGAAGGGCTTCATTAAGGAAATTAAAACTCACATTAGAGTCCCTGCACACAAGATGTGTCTTTGCACAAAGATGAGAGATTTAATCAAAATGCCCGATATGCTAGTGGCTACAGCGCTCTCTTATGGGCCGTGCTAAAAAAATGAGAGTGAGTTAAAAACAGGTCTCCCTCCTACAAGTTATGTAGGAAGGAGCTAAACATCTGGACAACTCATGGGTATCAAAAACTGCTTTCTGTTTTAAAATTTCACTCAGAAGAACAGGAAGAATTACAAAAAGTAGTTTTTGCTTAAACACAACCAGTTTATCCAGAAAATTAATACCTTCCAGATCCCATAAATATTATTTATTTGTCCTGCACTGTAAACCCTTTTAGTCAACCTGGCACCTTGACAAAAATAGCTGGTGAAGGTGCTATCACCTCCTAGAAGTGGGTTGAAAGTCCTGCTTTATGTATGGTGCTGGTTCATCCACTAGATTTCATCTAATCCCCAAATTTCTACCAAGTAATAAAATGGAAAACAGTCCTCTTTTCTTCCCTATACTAAGAGATTACTAAGAACAACTGTAAGGACTTGTTCACATCTTCAGTTCAGTTAGACTAGCCTATTCTGCAGTATGTTAGGTGTCATTAATTGTTTCTTTAAAGAAATTCAGCCATATGCAAGAAAACTTCCTCACTGAGAAAGAAAAGCTGGGTCCTAGCTAATAAGCAGTTAATATACACAAAATGCAAAAACCATCATCCAACTATCTAAAATTAATGTCTATGAATGCCAGACATTTCACAAAAGTCCTTCCTCCAGCGTTTTTCTAATGATGACACACCACCATGGGCATGAATGAACTAAATGTCATTATTCTTTGGGGCAGCAAAATCCATTAGTGAGTGATACCCATTCTCTGTGAAGGGATTTCATCACTGCTTACATATAAGAATCAATGACAAATTTTATGCAGCGTTTCCTGGCTGATTGGCCAAACTACATTAAGTATAAATTATTGCTTTATCTTGGACAGACCTGGATAAGCTGTGCTGAGCCCTGCAGCTGTTTCAGACTAAACACCAGCAGTTCCTTCTCCTCTATTCATCACTAGTTTCCTGTTCTGCATAACTGGCATGACCACACTATGTATTTTTCTGACTGTACATTGGTATGGGCCAGTTGCCATTTTCTTTAATGACCACAAGCCCTTTGCTAGTTAAAAATCGCCATCACCAAATTATGAAGTTGGATCTGAAATGCCAATGTAGCTGCTGCCAACAAGGAAGTTTTTAAATTTTCCCACTCCATCATTCACAAACCTAGAGAGCCTGTGTTTAAAAGCAAACCTGGTTTATGGCTGAGTCACAAGCAGGACTAAGAAGCTACACCCATCTCTTTTTACCAAAACTAGAGCACTGAAGAACTCCTGAAAACTACAGGTTCATGGTGTGTACACCCTAAGCTGAAAAGCTGTTACCCAAAACTCAGCCTCCCAAAAGGCTGCAGTGCTGCTGATTTTTCCTTCAGAGTGCTAACTTGGTGAATCCTATACTGGCCTAGCATAATAAAAAAAAGTAATGTTTTCACTACCGAACCTACCTTTTACTACTCCATTTCAGTGCAGGCAGAAAGCTTCTCAGAACATGCACCTCTTCTCACCATCACTAATATTTATCATCATTTCTCATTTCATCAATACCTCATTCCTACTTGCTAGGAAAAGTGAATAAAGATGAATCAAATAAGCCAATTCAACATACCCACAACAGAAATGACACTCCTTGGATTTCATGCTGAATAGCAGCAAGTGGAGAGGCACAGACTCCTCATCACGTATTCAGCTCAAAGCTCCAATACCTGGAGCAATGGTTGAGCTGTGTAAGGTGCAGAAATCCCTTCCTGACTTTCCCTA